TTATGTAACTGGCGTCTCCCCCAGCACTGCACTAGACAGTGAGCACACTTCTGAGGGATGTCACCTGTGGAGTTTGAGGTAGGCCATGGCTCTGTTAGCAGGCAGCAGTGCGTTCGTCCCATCCGCCTCCATTCCTCTGGAGTAACACTCCACCGCTGCCTCATACTTGCCTTCTTTAAAGTAAGCATTTCCCTGAAACGTACAGAAGCAGTGTTCAGATCGACTTATTCACATGATGGAGAAGAAGAAGAGACGCTTCTCACTCTGTCCTTCTGCACGACTGCTTCCTGTTTCCTCTGCTGTTCCTGCAGCTGCTGTAACGGCTCTGCATCGCTCTCGCTCTTCTCCTCCGTCCGTCCGCTTGATCCCAGCACCTGGAACCAAGCATCGGTCACTGACGGATCTCACAGCACACGCATCTGTCAAAGTGGATCACTGACACACCTGCTGCAGCTTCTGGATCTCACTCTGGGCCTCCGAGCTTCCAGGATCCAGTTTGAGAACCATCTCATAATCTGGACGAATGAACAGAGACGAGACGTGAACTGGATAAAGATTCGATTCTGGACTGGATTTTTATTTCTTGTGCATCTGTTGAAATGCGTGATCATTTTATTTTGTCCTTTTTGATTTGAAAAGTATATAAAGGAAATTTACACTACTAGTCAATTTGGAATAATTGAGATTTGTAATGTTTTTATGCTGCATTTATTTGAAAACTGCTGCTTAATATTTTTGTGTAAACCTTTTAGGATTGTGTAACAAAAAAGATAGGATGACAAAATAATGAAAATAACATAAATATAATAAGTTAAAATAAAATAATTAGAATAACCTAAAATAAGACTGGAGTATTATCTGCTGAAAATGTAACTTTGATTACAGCAATAAATTTCATTTTACTGTATATAGTCATGTAGAACAGTTATTTTATATTGTAATAATATTTCACAATTTTGCTGTCTTTACTGTGTTTTTGATTACAAAATAAAATAAAATTATTACAATTAAATAGAATTACACATAAATAAATTAGAATGCATTTAATTAAAACAAGACAAGTAATGATGCTGAAAATTCAGATTTGATCACAGCAATAAATTACATTTTACAATATATTTACATAGAAAATATGTACCGTTTTTACTGTATTTTTGATCAAGTTAGGGTTGTTGAGCCTTGTTGAGCAGAGGACACTTCTTTCAAAACGTTTAATTATTCCAAACTTTTAACTGTTGTTGTATATAGCGAAGTTCATAAATGAAGGTAATTAAAAAGGCTTTAAAATGTAAAGTGTGAAATGTGCTATATAAATAATAATGAATCATTTAGAATGATTTGTGAACCAGTTCAACTGAATCATTGAAAAGATCCAATTCGTTCACAAATTCAGGCACTTTTTTGCTGATGGATTATTTCAGATCGGAGCAGAACTAGATAAATATTCAATCACAAGAGTAACTTCGTTCACTTCCATGATTTCCTGATAAAGCGTCAGACCTTCGAGAGCGTCCTGGTGTTTGTTGAGTGCCGCACGTGCCGCCGCTCTCCTGATGTACGCTTTGACGTATTTCCCGTCCAGAGCGATGGCCAAATTACAGTCGGACTCCGCCACGGCGAACCTGCGGCACACAAACACTCTCATCAGGACCGATCCACCAGAACACACCTGTATGAAGACGGGAGATGCAGCTGTACTTGTTCAGTCTGAAGAAGCAGGCCGCTCTATTGGTGGGTAGGACAGGGCTGTACGGATCGGCGTCCATTCCTCTGGTGTAACACTCGATGGCGCTGTCGTACCGGCCGTCCCTGAAGCACTCATTCCCCTGAAACATTAAAGGAGTCCTATTATGCTTTTTCACTTTCTCAACTTTAGTTAGTCTGTAATGTTGCTGTTTGAGCATAAAAAAAGATCTGCAAAGTTACAAAGCTCAAAGTCCAATGGCCCAGCTAACCAATCACAGCACACACTGGCCCAGCTAACCAATCACAGCACACACTGGCCCAGCTAACCAATCACAGCACACACTGGCCCAGCTAACCAATCACAGCACACACTGGCCCAGCTAACCAAGAGAAAAACAGTCTCAAGTCGCTGGGGTATATTTGTAGCAATAGCCAATAATACATTGTATGGGTCAAAATTATCCATTTTTCTTTTATGCCAAAAATCATTAGGATATTAAGTAAAGATCATGTTCCATGAAGATATTTTGTAAATTTCCTACCGTAAATATATCAAAACTTAATTTTTGATTAGTAATATGCATTGCTAAGAACTTCATTTGGACAACTTTAAAGATGATTTTCTCAATATTTAGATTTTTTTGCACCCTCAGATTCCAGATTTTCAAATATTGTCCTATCCTAACAAACCATATATCAATGGAAAGCTTATTTATTCAGCTTCTTTCAGATGATGCATAAATCTCAATTTCAAAAAATTGACACTTATGACTGGTTTTGTGCTCCAGGGTCACATTTGAGTCTCATCTTATTTCACTGACAATATTAGATACAATTAGTGTTTAATGAAGTCAGTGTCATCTTGTCAACATTTTTCGTCATTAACTAAATGAACACCTTCTCTTTCTCAGTCAGCGCCAGATCTCTGTCCACCTGAAGCCCTTCAGAGTCCGACTCGTTGGAGTGGACCGTGCTCTCCTCCGCGTCCATGGCCTCCAGAGACTTATCCTGCAAACAAACAGCGTTCATCTGTGAAATCATCACATCTTTATGCACATCAGAGCACGTGAATCAGATCGCAGAATCATATTACCACATCAAATTTGTCCCAGGCCTGATAATCGTAGGATTTTATGCGCTGCGTCTCCTTTTGCTCCTTCAGGCTGTTAGTCTGGCGCTTCACGCTCGTCTTTGTCTTCTTATAATCGTTGTTCCTCACCGGCGGGAGAGTCTTCTGGAATAAAACACAGTTTAGCAAACAAACACCTGAATGTAAGGAGCTCAGAATCTCGGAGTTTTACCGGCGGTTCGCTGATGTTTCCGGCGCGAAGCTGCTGGTCTTTCTTCTTGATTTCTTCCTCCCAGTTGTTCAGCTCCTTCATGAAGTTCTGCAGATCTTCTGCGTTCTGTCGCATCTGTGTCTGCAGCTCCACCGCTTTATTTCCCGACATCACTGCGCTCTTCTAGACCACATCAGACTCCCTGCAGCAAACACAACTGTTTAAAACTACTACAATTTAAAAAATCATGCACCGCTCCATAACATGTAGTGGGGGAAAAAACATCCTAAATATACATGTAACTTAAGTGTTTATTTATTACATTTGATCTATTTGCATCTGTCGATTTTTAAACTACAACACATATATTTCAAAGTTTTTATCTCCACTTCAGCAGCACTTACGGCTTTATTTTCTGTCTATATTCTGAAGGGTTTCACTGTGAGGGTTGTTCATGTATCATTTACACTGATTTATACAACATTTTATTCCTAAAACATGATAAAAATGCATATCTTTATGTTTCTATCTCCATTTCAGCAGCACTTACACCAAAACGTACAGTTTTAGTTTACATTTTAGTTTGTTTACATATCATTTTCCTGATTTTATACAACATTTTATTCCTAAAGCATGATAAAAATGCATATCTTTAAGTTTCTATCTCCATTTCAGCAGCACTTACAACAAAACTTACAGTTTTAGTTTGTTTACATATCATTTTCCTGATTTTATACAACATTTTATCTGTTAAAACATGGTGAAAATGTATTGGTGTTCTGTCTGTTGACAGTATTTTCTGATAAAAAGAGAAATCCAAAATCTTTCTGGAAAACCCTTTAATATGCAGACAAAATCAAACAAGAATTTATATATATATATATAAATGCAAACCAGTGCATTTTATATATTTTAAAATGAGATATACCATTTCAGAAAACGTGTAGTATAAGATGTAATGTCTCAATGTACTGTGATTAATTAACTAGGAAACTATGGTGATATCTATTTAAAAAAAAGTTTTACCATAGTTAGCACCGGGTTACCATAGAAAACTACTGTCATCAAAATAATAATAGTCATTTAATTATTTGTGTTTAATATCTATACTACTTTTAACAAAATTAAATTAAATTAAACACAATGATTACTTATTATGACCATTATCGCTAATTATGATTTTACAGTGGAAACAATGATAGTAAATACAGTCCGTTGGCGGAAGCTACGGTTACCATGGTAACTCTTCAAAAGTTAAACTAACAACAATGCGACCCTGAAAAAGCCCGCGAACTACAGATTAATCAGCGAATCCGCAAAAGAAATACGACTCGAAATGAAATCTCGTCAGTCTATAATTCTAGAATATTCGCTGTATCTGCGACAGAAACAACATCACGTGATAGCAGGTTTATCACGAGCTGTGTGGAGTTAAATACAGAGCTAAACGACTCATCTACAGACTTGTAATTTACTTGATCTCAAATATTTTAGTAAAAACATGGATTATATTTTTTGCAAAAACATGTGCTAGCACACATGCGGGATACTTAATTTAAGATGATAAAGTCATCTTAAACGCATGTTTATAGAAACTCTAATGATCGATTTTAACAGCAGTGAAGAGCAGAATCAGAAGTCATACCTGTAGAGCTCTGGATCAGCAGTTTGCGTTCAGCGCCATGACAGCACAAACACATCTGCGCGCATGCGCGAACTACGTCACGCCCTACGCGATCACGTAATGGCGCCGAAAAAAGCGAAAAGTCTAGAAATAAGTATTTTCTTCATTACCCTTTTTTTTGGTGTTTATAATGCTCGTCTTTTGTCAGAATATGAAATATATATATATTTGTAAAGAACATAGTCTCTTGCTTGTGTCGTTTAGTCGGGGACTTATATTTTGAAAACAAAACAGCCTTGACGAGATATTATTTTAAGCAAAATTATCTTATTTCTAAAATCAAAACAATATAAAAATAAGTAGATTCGGTAAAATCGCAACCATTTTAATAACTGAACTACTTTAATCCCTCTGTCACCCTTCGCCTGCTTCCAGTCACGTGACTCACGGACGCCGGTGTGACCTCTGCGTGACCTCTGCCTACACGAGTAGCTCGGAGCTATGGCTCAAAACAGGGCAAAAGAAGATGAGTTTATTAATAAAGAGCCGCTGCAGGAGAACAGAGAGGCCGGAGAGCAGACAGCGGCGGCGGAGAGTAAGCAGAAGGAGCCAGACTTCGGCTACAGCTTATATCCCGAGCGCGGCAGCAGCAAGTTCAAGCAGGGCTCGATCGGAGAGAGTCTCTTCACCTTTAAACACAAGTGTCTCATCATGCTGCAGGTCGCCACGGACACTAGTAAGGGGACAGCAGCTGTGTTTCCATTATTACAATATTAAAATAAGAGTTTCTAGAGTTTATCTTACAGAAGTATGCAATAATGTTTTTGTAGATACCTGTACACACATACACACACACACACACACACGTGCATGTTTACCTTGCTGTCTAAATGAGGACATAGCATAGACTTCTAGTGTTTTAAATAAACAATTATTTAATTTATATAAATAATATAGCTCACGCATCACGGTTTCCACAAAATTATTAAGCACCACAACTGTTTTCAACATTGATAATAATAATAAATGTTTCCTGAGCAGCAAATCATCATATTAGAATGATGATGAGGAGTGATGATGCTGAAAATCACAGGAATCAATTCAAAATATTTTATTATAGAAAACAGTTGCTTTAAATGTAATATTTCACAATCTTACTGCATTTTTTGGTCAAATAAATGCATAGATCATCTCTGCATTACTATGGAAGCTTGTTTTCATCACGAAATACAAGGAAAAAATAAGAGCGATTGCGAATTTTTATCTCACAATTCTGACTTTTTTTAATCTAAAAAAAACTTTTTTTACAATTCCGACTTTTTCTCTTTTTTTCGGAATTCAGGGTTGTTATTCTCTCTCTCTGCCACAAAATAAATAAAAAAAAAAGAAAAAGAAAAGAAAAAAAAAAAATTTTCTTTAGTTTTATTATTATATAATAATAATAATAATAATATTATTATTATTATTTAATCTCACAATTTTGACTTTTTTTTTCGCATGCTCTCACCAAATACATTTTTTTTTAAAAAAGGTGATTATGATTTTTTATTTTTTATTTTGGGTAATCTCACAATTTTGATTTTGTCTTGCAATTCTGACTTTTTAAATAAGAATTCTGAGTTTACATTTCACATGTTTGTTTTTATTTGTCTCTGCCGCAGAATATGTATACATATGGAATTCTGCGTTCATGTCTCACAATTATTATTATTATTTATTTATTTATTAATATTTTTTGGTGTGTCTTCCACCAAATAAAAAAAATAAAATAGTAATTGCATTTTTTTTAAATCTCACAATTCTGACTTTTTCTCAGAATTCGAAGTTTACATCTTGCAATTCTTTTTTTGGCCTCTGCCACTGAATTAAAAATAAAAAAGGTAATTCCAATTATATTATTAGTATGATTATTATTATTATTATTTTTAATCTCACAATTTAGACATTTTTTTCTAAGAATTTTGAGTTTACATCTGGCAATGCAGTTTTTTTTTCTACAACAGAATAAAAAATAAAAAAGGCATTTGCAACTTTTTATTTCATAATTCTCATAATTCTAAGAAAAAAGTCACAATTATGAGATAAGTTGCAGTTACCTTTATTTTTTGTTTCATGGTTACAGTAAAGTATGCAGTGGCTACAGACAGTTTTAACACATGAATTGAAGCGGTGTGTGTCTCATTCAGGTCCTTATGCTAAGCTCCTGCTGGGTGCCATGAAGAGCTCCGGCTGGTAAGAGCGACGTTCACATGAACTCTTCCTCCAGCGCTGCGTGTCGCTGACGTGTTGTTATTTGATTTCCTCTCAGTGCAGTTCATAAAGACAGACACTTCTCCTGTGAGGACTGCGATGGGACGGTCAGCGGCGGCTTTGATGCTGCCACCTCTCAGGTGAGGCCCAGAAAAACATAAGCGCTGCTTATGAACAGCAATGATACAGTGTTTCCTTGGTTACCGCTGTAAACAAAGCAGAGCTGCTTTATGATCTTTAACATGCATTATACAGAGGCAAGAGGAAAAAAAAATTCCATCTAAACTTTTCTAAAGACAGTAAGTTCCCCTCAGACATACATTCATATAAACTCCTACACCTAAATGAATCGCGATTTGTTTAGCATCTCAACCGATTTGAATCGTCACGTATTTGAATCGATTTTCAACCGGCTCGCAGTTAATCGTTACATCCCTAATGATGATGTTCGTCTGAACTGAGTCTGTGTGGTTTTTCCCGCTGCAGATCGTCTTATGCCAGAACAACATCCATCAGCAGGCTCACATGAACCGTGTGGTGACCCACGAGCTCATCCACGCCTTCGATCACTGCAGGGCCAGAGTCGACTGGTTTAGCAGCTTCAGACACCTGGCCTGTTCAGAGGTGAGCAACACAACACTGTGTTTAGCTGTTGCTGTGCATTTCAAAATAAAAAAAATAAAATAGCACAAATAATTGGTTTTAGAAACCACATCTAAAATATAAAATACTGAAACCAAAATAAATGCTTTTAAAAACCTTGTATAAAATTAAAAAATAGAATCCAAAATAGAATGTTAAAAAACAAACATAGAACATTCTAGATTCCACATCTAAAATTAAAAATAATATAATAATACAAATAATATTATAATATTTTTAGCAAACAAACACCCAAATTTGAAGAAAATTTAAATAAAATTAAAATAATATAATAAATATAAAAAAAACATATAAAATTAAAAAATAGAATCCAAAATAAAATGTTAAAAAACATCTAAAAAACATTGTAACTATAATAAAACATTCTAGATTCCACATCTAAAATTAAAAATAATATAATAAATAATACAAATAATATTATAATATTTTTAGCAAACAAACACCCAAATTTGAAGAAAATTTAAATAAAATTAAAATAATATAATAAATATAAAAAAAACATATAAAATTAAAAAATAGAATCCAAAATAAAATGTTAAAAAACATCTAAAAAACATTGTAACTATAATAAAACATTCTAGATTCCACATCTAAAATTAAAAATAATATAATAAAAATTAAAAACCACATCTAAAATTAAAAAAGAGCAATTTTAGAAATTGCATCTAAAATTAAAAAATATCATTCAAAATAAAATGCTTCACATATAAAATAAAAAATAGCATCCAAAATGTTTTAGAAACCACATCTAAAAAAAAAAAATTGTAACCAAAAAAAATGTTTTTTTACCTGCATCTGAAATTAAAGAGGTATAACTAAAATAAAAACCATTTTAAAAACCACATCTAATATTTAAAAATAGTTTAACTAAAATAAAACTATTTAGAGGCATTTTAAAAATGTCAACCTGGTGCATTTTCTTTAAGTAAAATCGTAAACATCATGTTTCTACAAAAAAAAAACACACACACCAAACTGCAACTTTGGTCCGACATTTTATTTAGGTGTTAAAATAATGTATAGCGTGAGACGTTTTACAGCACTCTGAAATGTTTGTGCTTGTTTTGTTCCCTTCAGATCCGAGCTGCTAATCTGAGCGGAGACTGTTCGTTCGTTAATGAGATTTCCAGATTTAACTTTGGCCTGAAAGAGCACCATCAGGTTTGTGTATTTGGCTGCGTGTTGTGGATGGTTTCTGGATGTGTGTTCATGTGTGTTTATGTTTTAGGCGTGTGTTCGCGGCCGAGCGCTGCGCTCCATCCTCGCCGTTCGCAAGGTGAGCCGGGAGGAGGCGGAGCTAGTGGTTGACGAGGTGTTTGACAGCTGTTTCCATGACCACGCCCCTTTTGGCCGCATCCCACACAGCAAGAAAGACGCCAAGTTCGCTTACAGAGATTACGAGAACCGAGACCGATACTACGCCAACCTCTGACGCAAGAGAGAAATATACTACACTGTGCTGTTCATTCATGTTCAGGAAGAATTAGAAAACGGCATACTTGCCTTTTTCATCACTAAACGTTTGACAACACCATTAATGTTTTCTTTATCTGAGCATCAGTTTGAAACGGATGAGATTGTTTATTGATGGATTAACGATCAAATCCGTCTTTGTATATGATTGTACAGGTTTTTATGAGTTATTCTTGCGAACATTCAGTGTTCATGGAGCCTCGGGTTTCTGCACAAAACTGAAAACCTTTCCATTTAAATAACAGGATTAAATAAATGTTATTTTACACCAGTGTTTTTCCTCAGTTGCGTCGTTGATCCACACGGTGGCGCTGATGCTGTTTATGAACTCAAATTTCAATTGAATTATATAGGAATTAATTCAGCTATTTTTATTTATTATTTTATATTATACAAATACATACATTATACATTAATAGTTAAAAAAAATTTTTTTTTTAAGTTTGCTATTTTTTAGTGCTGTCAAACGATTAATCGTGATTAATCACATCCAAAATAAAAGTTTTTGTTTACATAATATATGTGAGCTCTTTTATTATGACAGATGTGAATACATTTTAAAGTAATTGTCTGTAGATCACAGATGTGTGTGTTATTTGAATTGTGGTGTTTTCACATTAAGCTACTCCTCAAAACTGTGGAAATGTACATTTTGCAGATCAGTGACCTGTTTTTATTATTATTATTATTCATTGAGACCTGATCGTTTCACCGCATCCATTTGTACGTCTGTCTGAGACTTGTCTTCTTCCAGGAAGATGTTGTGAGTGAAACATGAGCTGTGTTTGAGTTTCTGCTCTCTGTCTGGAGGAGATTTCTGCTTCAGCTGCTGGAGGTCAGGAGGAGGTGGCAGGAGAACCGCTGACCCTCGTTGACCTCTGACCTCTTTGTGGACTCAGTGAAACGCACAGATAGCCTTCCAGCTCTCGGACTCGTCTGATTCTAGCAGCTCGGACCTGTTCTCTGGGGAAATGCGTTGACGGGCCGGTTGTTTAATCAAATGCTTCCATTAGAGAACGATCAGTGCTGTTTGTATGTATAAAGTGTGCACAATAAAAAGATAAATGTGATGTTTGTGTGCCGTTCATGATTTCCAGAGATGGTCTGATCGCAGGTCTCCTCCAAACATTCTGTTAGTTCTAATCAGTTTAATGTTCTCAAGTAAGGTTTGTGTGCGTCTGACTGTTTGAGATTTCTCTCTGGATAAGCTGTGGCTGATCTGTAGTTTAAAGTTAAAACAGTCCAGTTTATTTGTTCTTAACAGAAGCGCATGTCTTCAAATAAATGACATTTGATCAGTAAAGTTTGTATCTGAACGGCTGTAATGTGACGCAGTTGTATTGTTAATCGTTGAGCTGTCTGTGATTCCGGCACGGATCAATGAGTCTGGAGCTGATGTTCATTTCTGTGAGAAACATCTCCTTTCTATTCCTCCAGACGCCTCCTCCGTGTGCAGGGGTCAGTCTGTGGAGCCGGAAGAGTCCTGGATCAGATCCTGCTGCAGTGTTTAGCAGCTCAGATCTGCTGCTGTGGGTGCGCTGGCCAATCATAATAATATATATATATTAAAAACAAAAGAATTGTCGACTTAGCCTGTGTCTGGAGTATTTTAGAAGTCGAACAAAAAGCGTTTGCCTCCTGCTTCATAAGCGCTGCTGGATATTGTCTGGGAAGCCCCAGGGGGAGCATCTGGATCTTCACTCCCCCTTCATGTCTCTGCTTCTCTCGTCTCTGGTCCTGCTCTGATCCGCTGTGCAGCTTGTCACAGATCACGACCGGACGACCGTCACGCAACCGTGCTTCCGAGACCAGGCTGGGGTTCGAACCCAAGCTCCCTCAGTTCAGTGAGGATTACTCAGACCACTGAGCCACTGGCACTTCCACATGTCTTACACTTTTTTTTTTGTCTTTTTATTTTTATTTAAAGACTAGTGAAACTAAACTTTTGTCACACTCAATACAGGTTTCAAACCTGGAATTCCCAGGTCAAGAGCTGATGCTCAGGCCGCTGGACCACAGGCTCTTCCATGCTTTCTTTGTTTTATTTTGGATTTTTGTCTTTTTTTTTTCCTTTAATTTAAAGACCAGTGAAACTAAACTCTCTTTCCAGCTCAATGCGGGATTCAAACCTGAAACTCCCAGGTCAAGAGCTGATGCTCAGACCACAGAACCACAGCCTGTTTCCCAGGACCTTCTCTTTTTTTTGTATATATTTCAAAAACTAATTTTAACCACTAGAGCGAGGTTTGAACCCAGACAGCCAGACGTTTAAACCACTGAGCCACTGGTGCTCCAATCTTTGTTTGAGTTTTGTCTGTCTTATGCGTGCAAAAAAAACAACAACAACATCATAACAAGAGTGAGGTTTTAACTCAGATGTTCCACATGAAGAAGCGAGACTCAGACCACTGAGCCACTGGCTTTTCTTTGAGCAGCTGTGTTTTTTGTAGGACTTTGTCACAAACTCAAATTCCCACAATACCAATTCCCAAACACAGAAAACAACCGCTGAAAACTGCTCTGCTACTGGCACTAGCATCGGTCAAGCGAGTGGGTGACTTACAAGCACTGTCAATCAGTGCTCCCTGTCTGGAGTTTGGGCCTAGTGACTGTAAAGTCATCCTCAAGCCTAGACATGGATATGTTCCGAAGGTGCTCTCAACTCCGTTCAGAGCCCAGGTAATTACCCTTCTAGTGCTCCCCGCTGCAGATGGTGAGCAGGGTCCCAATGTTCTCTGTCCCGTCAGCAGGGGCACCGCTAGCAATTTTGGGCCCTATGAAAGAAAATGAGGTTGGGCTCCCTACCGCACCAAACATATAATCCAACCTAGTTAACCAAAATCTTTGTCTGCAATTTAATAATACTGACCTACTACCTTTGCTATTGCTTTTGACCACTAGGTATCAGTATTTAGTCAGAGACCTACCCATAGCCGCGGGAATATATTTTATCTGGGGGTGGGGCTTGATGTTGTAGGGCGGGGCTGCAGTGGGGGATTTTAAACAAAATCCTAATATTAAAGTGGTCATATTGTTATGTAAGAATGAATATATATTTGTGCTTTTGTGATTTAAGCTCAATAATATTTTAAAACATAGAACTGAGTGTTTACATACCATGAACAGAGACGTTCTGTGGTCGAGATGTGTATCCTATTTGAAAAACTCTGCATCGCACTGAGATTCCAGTAGCTTTACTGGCATGATAAAAAGGCTATACCAAGCATTGACAGTGCTTCGAACCATGGTGTTGAGCATTATCAACTTTAGAGGCTACAATTCATAGTTTTCAGTCACGTGACTGGCTCGAAGACCTGTCGGGCAAAACATCCATAGAACTGCAGCAAAAGCTTGTCAGTTTTCCATTTGTTTCTAATCCACAAATATTTAGATCTTTTGATGACCGGACTTACATCTTCGTCGAACTCGAAGACATCTCTAATTTGTCAGTTTACCATCTGATCTCTCACTCTAGGCCACTCTAGGCTATGTAGGACAGGACGGAACCATGCAGTGAATGGGGGGGGGGGGGTAATTTGCTGCTAATAAAACAGATCTCTGGGGGCCCCAAAAGTGCGTGGGCCCTTAGAACCGTCCTAACTTTCCCCCACTTAGCGGTGCCCTTGCCCGTCAGGGCCCTGAGAATATATCTTGAACGCTCCAGCCTGTTCAGACAGTCGGAGCAGCTTTTTGTTTGCTTTGGAGGCCGCTCTAAGGAGCTGCCGGTTACAAAGACTCTCCCACTGGATAATTGATGCTTTGGCCTTGGCTTATGCCTCAGAAGGTTTGCAATGCCTCATAGGTGTGAGGGCGCACTCCACTAGAGGAATGGCCTCCTCCTGGGCTTGGTCCAGCAGAATCTCTCTATTGGTGAGATATGTGCGGCCGCCAGCTGGTCGTCGCCGTCCACGTTTGGCAGATTTTACAGCCTAGATGTAACGAGTGTGGAATACCTAATTACGGTGCTTATTCCCATAACTTATATTGGGCACTTTTTGCATTTAAATTCTGACTCTGTTGACATTGAAAACGATGCATGTGTTTTTTCGAGGGTATCGGTTAATTTCTTGATTGCCGTTTTGACAGTGTCTGCTTGCATATTTTAATCATATTTGGTCATTCTCTTTAATGTATTTACCCCGATTTGATCCATAGGAAATCTATCTAGCGTTATAATAATATTATTTTGTCGTCGTTCATTTGTTTTAAGGAGTTAAAAATGGCTCTTAATCAACCTTGATTGACATTCTATCACATTATTTTGACAGTTAAAGTTTTGGGCGTTTTTTGGTTGGAGTGGGTGGGTTTTTGTGAGCTTTTGGGCTGGAAATCGTCCATCCAGATGTCACTTCACTTGTCATTATGCTGGTCTCATCATATTTGTCTTATACTCACTGAATGTAAAAGCTCTGAAACGAATATCAGCGTCCAGAGAGTTCTGGAAGATCTTTGGATGAACATCTGGACTGACTTGCTGAAATGCTTAAGAAAATATTTCCATTAAATGTGAAAAACACAAAGAACATGGAGAGAAAGTGGGGAAAGACTTAAAAAAAAAAAAAGATTTAATTTTAAAAATAAATTTACCATAAAACCAGGAAAAAACTGTCAAACCACCCATTTTATTTACTATAATTTATATATATAATTTATATTATAATTTATAGTCTATAAATATATTTTACATCTGTAATAAACATTTAGAATTCGAGTTTCATCGCCCTCCTGTGGTGAATTGTGTGAATTACATCAATGCGATTTATTTCTACAGATTTAACGCGAGTCAGAGAAAAACCTTGCACTAAATTAGTTTGCATTGATTTCATATAATTTAATAAATTAATCACGACCCTCTGCAACAACGAAACATCTGAAAAACCGCCCTTTTCTTCTGTATGTTCTTTTTGTTCTATATTCTTATATCTGAGCGCCATCCTGTGGTGAATCGTGTGAATTACACCAATGCCATTTATTTCTACAGATAGAAAGAATTTGCACGCTGTTGATTATTTCTGCATCTTTCATTTTAGACTTTAATTTTAGACAGAGGAAAACATGAACTTATTTTTTTGCAGTGATTACAAATTATTTAATTATTCGTTTTTACTCACTATACCACTGTACTGTTACTGCACTGTATTATTTATTTTTTTTTAAATATGTATTTAATCAATTTTATTTATTTATTTTTAAAAATAAATGTTTTATTAATTATCAATTTAATTTCAAAAAATGTTACAACATTTTTCTCAATTTTTTTCCATGGCGCCCCTATCATTACCATGGTACTTTGTGGTATTTTTTGTAAGTGTTTCAAGGACG